CGCCTAAATGCCAAGAAAGAAATCAAAAGGCATTTTCCTTTTCTTGTTTTTAACAGGAAAAATCCGCTGCCAAACGTGAACTGTACAGCAAAGAAAAAAGCCTCCGAAGGGGACTGTGATTCACTAACATCTCATTTTTCCAGAAAAAACGGGCAAGGGCCGTGTCGCCTTCTGCGGCGAAGTGCAATTTTCGGATGGCGAATGGGTAGGAGTAATTCTCGACGAACCACGAGGAAAAAACAACGGCACGGTGCAGGGTGTACAGTATTTCACATGCGAGCCAAACCATGGTCTTTTTATTCGACCAACCAGGTGAATCGGGATATTTCTTCTTTTATTTTGCTGTTCGCTCAACTTTATTCACTACTAATCCTAAAAAGTTGGAAAAAGGAGTGGTGGTTCTTTCAGTTGAAACCAGAATCAGCACGTTCACGCGCCAGTGGCCTCAGAACTCCGGCACCTCGTAAGGAAGTTACTGCTCCAACAAAAGTTGCACGTTCTTCACCAAGTGTATGTGATTCTGTTATTTTATCATTGGGCACTGTTTTCCCTTTAGTGTCCCACTTTTCGAAATCCATATCCCGCTGAGACTGAACTTTTTCTGTCGTGGGAGAACTGTCGTTACAATTCAAGTTCAAGGGGTATTTCGAAACCATGACCTCAAAGGCTCACAGATAAACACCAGAATAGGCACTCTCTCGGGAGCAGGATCACATAGGGCAATTTTGGATCGAGATAAGGCTGAGCTGCTAGCGGATACGTTTGAAAAGTCATTCGGATTTGAGTCTGGTACCACGCAAGATTCAAAATTTCCTAGGATACAGGCTAGTAATTCTGCCCCATGGTTTGACCGAAAAACAATTCTAGATATTCTTCTAAAGTGGTCATCGGCATCTTCTACCAATAGCGAGAATATACCATTCATTGTTGTGAAAAATTGTATCTTCGAAATTTGCGCTCCTCTTGAATTTCTATTCAACTTAAGTCTCAATAGCGAGCGAAGTAGCACACGTGGCAAAGTGGTAGCATTCTATTGGTAATGCCTCATCCTAAAAGGAATCCGTGTCGAGCCCAAGTAATCCGTACAGCCAAGAGTTTACTCCAACTTGACAAATTTTTTTCCAAGAGTCTTGAAGAAGTAATTAATGCGTTACTTACAGAGCTACATTCGAGAAAATCACATTCTAACGCCCACACACCATGTTTGTAAGGGGCAGGTCAACTGAAAACTTCTAAGCTGTCTTCATGAATAATGGAACTAAGCGCTAAGATCCAGAAAAATGTTGACGTAACTATATGATTTTTATAGGCAAGCAGATATTGAACAGACTCGCCACATAGGGTCCTAATTCGAGCAAGCTTTCTCCGCTTAAGGTGTCGCATCCCCTATGTTCGTCAACTCGGGTCAACGGCTCCACCTCACAATCGAAACTTCCAAGTCTCAATGTAGAGGAGCACTGTCTGAAAGTAGGTAGTAACCAAGCGGTGTTCCACAAGGGGCAGTTCTATCACCCGTGCTTTTCAATATGTTTACGGCGGACCTTCCTCACGTGCTAGAGAACCTCGAAGTTACTTGCAATATTTTTGCTGACGACATCAAGATTTACATGGTGACTGGAGATCTAGATTATGAACCCTCACTGCAGCTTGCAATCAATAAGATTGTAGGTTGGGCAAAGGATAATGGGCTTCTTTTGTCTTCGGAAAAACTCAGGTCATGCGTTTGGGAGCTTCCACCCGCAAACCGGTGTATTACGTGGAAGATGTTGCATTAAAAACAGTGAAAGAGTGAGGGATCTGGGGTTCAACTATGACAGCAAATTAAATTTCAGCAAGCACTATAAGATGCTGGTAACCAAGGGATTGCGGAGGACCTTCAACTTGTTCAAGGCCCTGAGAACACGAGATACTAGCGTTTATTGAGACCCATCATAACAAGCTATTTGTGGCGACCAATTAATGGAGTCCTGGGACCCGTCGTATTCAATCCACATATGAAAAGGGATATATACGCACTTGAAAGTGTGCAGAATAACTTCACGCGTAAATTGATGCTTAGATGCGATGGGTTAAACTACATGGAAATAACCCCAACGGAACCCTTCGGAATAGGGCTTATGGGTTGAAATCACTGGAATGGAGAAGAACTAGAAACGACTTGCTAATGGTATTCAAATTATTGAAAAACTTAGTGAAAATCAAAGGCAGATGACTTTTTCCGTGTGCTAGCCACTCTAACTCAAGAAGACAAGATGTCATCTCACACATACATTTGCCAGGACCTCAACTCTTAGATCAAAGTTTTTGCGGCAATAGAATTTGCTGATCAAGGTTCCAATCTACCTATTTGCGGAAAAGTCTCGCAGTCAATATTACAAGTTTAAGCGTCAATGTGGAGATTTTGGTCAGAGTTTTCGAATTAGTTTGTAATTTGCTATATATGAGCATTATAACGAAATGATGTTTGTGTCTGTTGCATTTACTTGGTTTAGTTTTAATCCGATAGTTCTAAAGTTTTATTGTTGAAATGTGCTCGCCTTCACGCGTCAACCGACATAAACAATAAACAAAGCTTCACGCGCCGCTCAGACTGAACGAGTGTCGCCACGCTTGTGACAGAACATTCCTTATCAACTAAAACTAGCATAGATGTGACAGAACATTCTAAATCACTAAACTGGCTGTTCCTACGATTAGCTCGGATGGATGTGATAACTGCATGCAGGGGATTAAGCTGGCCACCAGGGCACACCCTGTAGTAAGATAAAAATTTTGCAAGGTAAGACCCAGCTCAAAACACTCTCCTTTGGTACGACACTCCTCTCCATCTCCCACCCTACCTACCATCTTACCTCTTACAACTCATACAGCCTCGTGCCAATTCTAGTGTCTCAACTCTTCAGCCTCGTGCCCTTTATCCCGTTTTCCCGAAAAATTCTCCTTTTTCTCCCAACAATTGCCATTGAGGCAGGGTGAGGAGGTGTTTAGAGCTTTTAAACGGAAGAAACCCTGAAAAGTCAGCAACCAAGAGCTTCGTTGACAGAGGCAAACGCGACATATTTCGTTGGGAATCCCCAGCGTACGGAGTGCCCTGCAGCTCACAAGGCCAGATTTGTTACTTGATCTGCCAGCTGTTAACAGTTTCGACTAAAATCTGGCCTATTTCTTGAAAAGTGGGGCAGTACGGTGCAAATAGTACTGGCTACCAGCACTAGTTTTCTTTCTACATCCCCGGCTGAATTTCATTTCAAGGTGTAATTTAGATGGTACGAAATGAGAAATACCACATGGTTTGATACTCATTCGCGGGAATCGTTGTAAATTTTCAGGGAAGTCCAAAAGTGAGCCCGTCGGTTTCACTTGAACGTCTCTCAAAAGCTACTGGCCCGAAGAGAGTTCTTTCTTCTTCAAAGCTCGTGGACGCTTCAAATGAGGTGAGTTGTTACCACCAATGTTGAGATAACTGATCTCCTACTTTTTTGCTTTTGTGTTTAATTTGCTGCCAGCTTATATACTATACTTCCGTCACACTTTTTGAAAATTGTTTCCTCGATTTTTTAGCGAAGAAAATCCTCCACATCAAGTATTCAGCATACGGTAGGATCTTGGGTAACTGGTCTGACTAGACTAGTGTTGGGTGTTCGAACTTTAGAGGCTATTAAATTTCATAACAGTGGTTTGAGAAGTGGGTTTCTTAGAGTGAAAAACCCAAAAAAGGATACAGAAAGGACATATTCTTTCCCTCTGTACATCAGTCGATAATAAAGGTATTTAGGAGCACTTAAATTTCGAACACCTTGTTCCTCTGCTGCTAGACGCTGCGGCTGTCGTTCATCATTTCATCTGACTAACAACGCCTCTTCTACTATGCTTTTCTAACGAAGCCTTTCATTTCTATGCTTACCACAATCTTACAATCACCACCGCTTGAGATTTATTCTCATCATCACATTAATCATAAATTTCTTTTCCTTCAGTAGTAACATTTTAGCCCAAAATGTCTCGCGAGGCTTCAAATCTGTCACAGGCAAGTTCGGAGAAGGGGGAGAAGCAGGAAAAGGAAAAGGCACCCGCTGAAAAACCCGCTGAGAAGAGTCCCGAAAAGCCGGAAAGTGTGATGGATAAAGTAAAGAAGTTGCAAGAGGTGAGTATTTTTTTCGACATTCAAAAGAAACTGAGTCTGCGCCCCTAAAGGCGGCAAAATTTTTTGCTGGCTCGAAGACGCAGTCTGTGATCACCTAATGTGCAGAATTCCTTTATTTTGCAAGATAGCACGGCTTAAAAGTGAGTAGCCATATGTCGGCCACCAAGATCGGGCTCCACCCATCAAGACAACCCTTCCCCTTTCTGTTCCATCTCCCAACCGATGCCTTGGCGTCTCTGTCTCTCACACTCTTTGTCATCTGCTTCTCTTTTGTGCGCCCTCTCTTCGCCGTATGCTTATAACCAACAGGGATCCCATTAAGGTCATTCTCAAGAATTTGTTTTCTTTTTCCACCTTCCCCCAACCTAATTACCACCTACCCTTTTCTTTCTGAAACTCGTCCCAATTTTCGATCGCGGGCTGCGTCTTCAAGGAGGCTAGTGTACTGCTATTTGGTCAATTATCAGAATGAATGAATACAATCAAATTTGAGTGATTCCTGTATTTCAGTCGGCATCCGCGATGACCCCGTTGTCTCCAACGCTTACAACCATTCCGAGTGGAATGGATGAAGGAACCGAACAGGAATACCTTCGACTTCAAGTGAAAGATTTGTCTGAGAAACTGGAAACTTTAAGGTAATTCATAGCGGATTCTTTCATGTTTCCTTATTGCTCTTTGACCTTTTTCCAAAGTTTTCAACAGTTTGTTGACACAAATTTAGAAAATTTGTGAACAAGGATTGGGATTAGCGTATTTCGTAGGATAGATACCAGATGAACCGCCTCGGCAACCTGTCAATTTTTCTTCTAGTAAATACGGCTTCTTTGTGCAGGATAAACGCCAAACGACGATCATGCCGAAGGCTGTCGATTATGAACGAAGTAAAATCCAGCTCCAAGCATTGATGGAACTGAAGTCGAAAATGGCGGATCAGCTTCTCGACCTACAGCGACAACTTCAAGAAGCGAGAAAAGTGATTTTTGTTTTTTTTAACATTTTCTTATGCCTAGATACAGTTTTACTCGATATTTCTTTACGCATCCTCCGAGCATGCCATCGACACAGCTCGGCTCCTGTCACGTTTTCGGCTGAAGTGCTGAAACCTTCATTTTTTTTTACATCAGGAAGCTCTGGAAAGTCGTGAATGGAAAGAAGCGAATCAAGACGAGTTAAGTTCGGCCGCCGAGCAGTTAGAAATGGCTACGATTGACAAGGAGATGGCTGAGGAAAGAGCCGAGGCGCTGCAGTCTGAGGTGTGCTACACTTCCATTCTATAGTGGTTTTTCAAACAAAACTACGGTACAGATACTAGCATTTCTGCATTGCTGTGTTCTCGTTAAAATTAGCTCTCTTATTTTAGCTGGACTCATTGAAACTTCGAAACGAAGAACTAGAGGCGGATCTTGAAATTCTTCGTGAAGAAATGGCTGCAGGTGGAGGTGGCGTCATCAGTGAAGGAAATAGTGTACAACTGAAGCAACTAGAATTGCAGAATGAGAGACTGAAGGAAGCTCTTATAAAGTAGGTTGATTTTTTTGGGTGTTCGGCTGTTAAGGTGACTGATTGTGGGACAGAAAGAGGATCTCAAGGGAGTGGGCACGATGGCTGGGGGGATGGGGTTGCTGCCAACGTCATTGGGAAAGCATCTCATTCCACTTAGCTCTTTCACCAAGTGACGTTGGCAGTAACCCAGCCAACCCGCAGCAATCGTGTCCACTGCTGTTAAGTAGCGTACATACTTTGCAAGTGTGGAGAATCAGCGAGTCGAGGAAATGTGCGAAAAAGAATGTGAACGAATCGATCCAGAGAACCTGTGATCTGAAAGAGTCCACTATGAGCTCATGGGCGGGCCCGTTGATTTCCTTCTAGTCCATTGTGGATGAGTCGCGAGGATCGCAATTTCTTTTGATTGGTGAATAAGCATTTCTACACAAGCATTCTCCCGCATCGCGCTTTCTTACAAGTCACGCCTCCTGCGCATTCGCATAGTGAGGATGCCGTCTAATGTATTACGTGGTTTTATTTATCCCTTCTCTATTTTTTTTCGGAACTATGCGTGGGAACACCTTGAAGTATAACTAATACTTTATTAACAGCGGACCTTGTTTCTGACAATGTTATGTTGTCCGGGCGTAGAAGAGCTTCAGTTGTCCCCTCAATTTCTAGAATTTCTCTTACTGATTAAGTGGATTTATTGAGATTCGCAATTCTTGGCTATTGAGTGATATTAATAAGTTTACAGATTGCGCGATATCAATGCTGCAGCACAGGCTGAAAAGCAGGCAGCGGTACGAGAAGCAGAAGTTCTCAGAACGGAGAATGTCGAACTTGTGAGAGCCGCTGAAATTGCAAGAAAGACTGCTCTCGATTCGGACATGCGCATTCATGACTACCAAGAGCAGGTATTATATTTTTCCATTGGAAACTGGAAATGACTTACTAACTACTGTGATGGAAAATTGATAGAAAGAAAAAATCGAGTTTTTGGAATTATTCTGGATAGAAGCTCACACCAGTCATCAGGATTCAGCGAACCGTAGTTGAGGATTGTAAAGGGTTATTATGGTTATTCATTTTCGAACCGAATGCTCTTGGGAATCACTAAATTACTACTTCCCGAAATGTGCTCAAACTGAAAGGCTTATTCTGCGGCATGATCACAAACGCGACATTCGTTCTTATAACCAATTGCTCGTTTTGGTGACATGCCCCTCTAGTACCAAAAGTAAATAGGCTTGCATGCTGGGCTTATTCGGGGTCCTAATCAGGAGTATGATCCTCGAAGCTGGTCATGCTACATCCGTGGTTTGAACCCTCCCCTGCCCCCTCTCCCCTTTTTACCCACCAATGCAAGTTTGCAACGGATACAACGGACTTGGTGAAAGAGATGGTAGTATCAAAGGCATCAGCGCAAAGAAAGTGATTGTTTTGATCGTGGCCCAAGAGATGCCAAAGTTCTGCAAGACGAAAACAATATTTTGGGATAGCAAGACAGTAAGAGTTGAATAGTGCCTTCGTTCCGACTTTTGTTCCTCCTTTCGAAAATCTGGGTGACGCTTTTGTCCACATGCCTGGGTCTGATTCCCGTCAACTTTAAGGTTTTCAAGTTTGCTATTTTGTTACCGTAACCGTATTCATCCACACAGCGTTGAATCCTGATGCCTAGTTTAGCGCGTTGTCCAAAATGGGGTAATATAGTGGTGAAGTTTTTGTGCGGTTTGAAAGTCTCTTTGCACGACGCTTTCGTTGATTAACTGGAGTGTGACTGGCATGCGTAGCGGCTTGCTAGATTGTTAGACTTATAAGTTTTCTTGTGTACAGTTATGTGTCCAGTGTAATGGTGAACGTTATAGGCTTTTTTTGCAGATAGTAGAACTTCAAGCATGGGAGGAGGTGGGCTAGGTCTTGTGCGGTCTTTTTCTATATACTAAATGCTTTTTTGGCGTACTTGTGTTTTTTATGCGATTCGAAAGCCCATGGAATATGTTTATCCAGATTTTCGTTCAAAAATTAATATTTAACCTTCCCGCTGTGCATGATCGTCTTGGTTGTATTAAATGCTAATTTCTGGTAGTCAATGAAAGAAAGAAGGAAAATGTCTCAGTATTTCTGTTTTCAAGATCGAGGCTGCTATGGGAGCCGAGGAGATGGTGATGAACCTTGCCAACAAAAATATGGAAATGGAAAATCAAATCAGGTAAGTTGTTGATAAGGTTGACTCTCAAGTGCTCCAGGCCCTAGTTAGGAATCCGCCTTCCATATCTGCTGCGGGAAGCTGTTCGGCTTGTAGAGGCATTATGCGGTTTCGTTTGCTGCTCTTGTACTTCATGTGAACTAAAAGGTCTACCCTTGGTCAAACCCGCAAACTCCTGCGAAGCTGTGAAATAAGTGGAGTGCGCAATTTTGGTTGCATGAGTCTGCCGGTCTTCACAATGTCCCTTCTACAAGCTTAGCTGAATACCATCTGGTGCCCCACCAAGCCCAACTGCCCCTGCGCCTGCTGATACCCTCTTTGCAGAGAATCGCGGGGTTTTTTTTGATGGAGCGTAATCAAACTCCGCAAGAAAGTGTTCATAAAGGGGAGTCACGGTAGGTGGGCAGTTTTGAGGTCCACTCATGACTTCACCTCATAACTACTGAGCTAAAAGGACCATTTGTCCGATAATCATGTTCGCTGTGTGTTGCCCTCCCAGAAAGTATGCTCTTCCTTTCGTCACCCTGTTGAAAGAGACCAGCAGCTTATATTGCAAGCAGTGCAAAACATTCCGAAAAAGGTAGCCTCTATGACCTTCTTTGAAAAATCAATGAAGAGTTCTCATTTTGGCAGTAGATTCCCAGCAGTGAAGGAATCGTTTGATTTTTTGACCCAAATATAGCCGAGAAACGTGCAAAGTATTAAGACCTGGGCAATCATGGTTCCCACTTTTGTTTTATCGTAACTTTCTGTAACCTTTCTGCAGGCAACTTGAAGCTGACAGAGACGAACTGGAAGCTCATCGCGACATGGATGAGCAAATGCTTGAGGAACAGAAACTCGTTGAAAAAGCGTTATTGGGAGAAATCGAGGGTCTTCACGTGAGAATTAGCGAGGCAAGTTTTCAGTACATGCAATTCTATAGAATAAGAAAAATGCCTCCTGAATACTACCCGTCCACGCTTTGCATAAAAAGATATGCTCAAAAATAGCACAATGTTGGGGATATTATTAGCTGATTGTTTTTTTTTAATTTTATTGAGCATC